AAATAAATTCAATGTTATGTTAAAAAAATTTTAAACAAACAACCTAACGAATATTTCATTATACTGAACTCCTATTATTATTACAGTGAACGTAAATAACCGAGATACTCTTACATTTAAATTTAGAATATTTCCTTCCTTTTCCAAAACAACTTGAACAATTTATTTTGAATTTACATTTCAAACTTCGGTTATTCTTATGCTTAATCATTTACTACGCTCTGCTTGATAATTTTAGATATATCCATAAACTCGCCTAATTTACTAAAGAATATATTAAAAGAAAATTTATCTTTTAATTAACACTATGGAATATTTATTATAGTAAACTTTAAACAAATTAAACAAACTTCACTAAAATCAATCTGAAAAATCAAATAAACAATTTAGAAATCACCTTGCGAACTTGATATCACCTAAAACAGATTTAGAATACTATAAAATAAAATACAATCATATAAAATAGATAAAAAGCGCAAGCCACGCTTTGAACCATGAAAAATATATTTCGGAAGTGATTTTAAAGTCAAATTCTAGAATACAAGTTCCGGAATTGTGGAACAAATCCCAAAAGTGACTTTTTGAATTTTGAAATGGGATGACACCATCATCTGGGAAATGATGGATATATTGTACTGTATATACCTGACAAAATCTAATCCATTATTTTATACGGTTCCTCTTTATATATCTTACTATATAAGCTTTATATTATGATTACGTTTTCATTTTACTTTTTTTTTTGGATTTAATTTAATAATTCAACAAAGAATTATTTAATCTATAAGTAAACACTATCTCATTTACTTTATTAAAATAATTAAAAAATTAACTAAATTATAAATAATTTTGCTTGATATATTAATGGACTTTTATGCAACTTCTCAAATAAATAAATTTAATAATATTAAACTAAATATTTCCCCATAAATAAACGTCTAATTAACTAAAAAGCAAGAAAATCATTAACGTTTTCTTTATCATAATTGATTATGAAATGTGGTATATAATTCAAAATTTTAGTTCATGTTATATAAAACAAAATAATCTATATTTAACACAGTTTAATAATTTAATTTAAAATATGAATATTTTTTACATATTTAAAAAACTTTCTATGGAATTATCTATGTCAATTATGCTCTTGCCACTTCTTAAGTTTAATTTGTTCTGAAATATTAATTTAAATTATAGCAATAAAAACTTTAATTCAATAATATTGACATTAATTGCATTCATGATATAACCTCTGGCGATACCAACATAAGACAGAAATAAAGTTAGAAACTTACATTATTAAAAAAAAAAGATTAAATTTAACATTAAAAAATGTTAAGTATATAAGAAAACATAACAAAAATTTAAAAAATAAAAATTAGAAAATTTATTTATATAAAAACACGAATAAAAATAGTAATTTCATATATTATACATCATTTATTTTTACTAAATTATATAAAGTCTCTTAATTTAATGATCAAATCAGCATTTTATCATTAAATTAGAAGTAATTCCGATAACAAAAAATGGAAAATTTAGAATGAAAAAAAAACTACTCTTTGAAATATCAAATTTTTGAATCTGTTTAACAATTAAATTCTAGTAATTTTGAGAATAGGATTTCAATTCGAATATATCTAAAATCTATTCTAATAAAATATCAGAATAGATTTTCATATTATATCTTAATTAAGATTGAAACGTAATACCGAATCTATTCCTCTTCCTATCGATAATAAAAATTTATCTTCAATGATTATTTAATTTTAGTTTAAGTAAGCTCATTTATATTAATATTTCTTATGAAAAAATTTTAAATGCTTAAGAATTAATTTAAAAGTTATTTATTACAAAACTTAGAAACATTATCAAAAATTATAACAATAACTTTTCATGAAATTTGTTTTTTAATATATATTGTAAATATTAAATTATTTCGGAATATATTTTAAATACATTTAAATTTTTTAAACTCTTAAATTATAAAAATTCTTAAAAACTATCAGTGAATGTTACTTAAATATCATAAATAAATGTTACAAATTATTGTATATTTTTTCGATTTTCAGACGTGTTATCAAGAAAATCTTATTTATTTCTTTGTTTACATTATTCTGTAGCTGAATATTTTGTTTGCAAATAATAATTTTTTTTTTAAAGAGCCTTAAATTTATTCTTTCTTGATTGTAAAATAAAATTACCGTCAAGAAAGAATAACTTTCATGTGAAAACAGTAAATATAGCATTAATCCAATTACAAATATACGAATTATGAAATACAGTAATTTTAAAATCCGACTTTTCGTTAGTATTTTATTATAGAGTAAATTAATCTTCAACCCAAGTACTTGGTCATGTAATCGAGTATATTTATCCAAAATAAATTTACTATTTTCCCATTTATTAATATACATATATATATATATATATATATAATATAATATAGTTAAAATGGTTAAACTTTGTAACTTTAATTCTTATAATGACATAAAAAATGAAATTTTTATAATTAATTTTTAGTTATCATTATGAAAAAATTGGTCAAAAACCCAAAATTTAACGTTTTATATCTCTATAATCGACCTTCCATATTATTCCTTGACATAAATGATTCATTCCATTGTATACAGAATTCATTTTGAGACAAAATGAAGATGATCTTATTCTTTTCTACAACATTTCTTACCGACGTCATAACTTCTCAACGGTTAAAATATCTAGTGTATAGTTTAATGTTGAATAAATAATCAACTGTAAATATAACGTTGTAATATAAGTTAAATTCATAAACGAGACTTTAAAAGCTTTTTTCCTATCTTATTCAAACGAAATTCACAAGAGTAAGACGGAAAATAAAAAAGAAATTACCATTAAAACTGTTTAGTAATCAATTTTTAATAATTTGATATGCTTATTAATAAGTAATAATTGCTTTAATTTCTTTATTCAATTAATGTTATCAATACATTTGAGTTTTTATGTCTTGAAAATCAAACAAGAAAGAATAACATATGGATACATGATTCATTAAATACGTAAAAATTACCAAAATTGGTAAAAATTAACCATTTTTCATAACTTTAAAAATGAATTTTCAATTATAATGAAATTTAAATTAAATAACATAAACAATGTTCTTTTTATTTGAATCCTTAATATATGTTTAATGAAAAGAAAAACATAGGAAAATGCATACTAAACTATATATTTTTATACTGCATAATACTAAAGCTGATGTTTTAAACAATAAAAGTACATAATTAAGTATATAAACAATTTAATGTTTAATAAACGTTAATGTAGTATTTTGTGCGTATAGAATTATTCTTTCGTAAAAATAATATATTTTGGCATAATGAATAGCAATTTGCGTGAAGGATATTATCACAAATATATAATTAATATTAATAATTCATAACAAAGTGTCTGCAGCTAATTCAAGGGGACAGTAATTGAACGTGTCAACTATTAGTGACAGATCAATCACAGGTGACTTTAACTTAGTATGTATATGTATACATATAATGATTTAATATATTGTACTGTACATATAAAATGGAAATAATACATAACATATATATGTAAGCTAAATGTATTACTATGTATATAAGTTTTAAAAATTTGATTTCTCTTATTTTTTACAATTATAAAAATAATATCACTATTAAACTGTCGTAAAATTTTTGTGATTTTTTAAATTTTACATGAAAGAATTTTTATTTTCGTATGCATAAAACAGAATTAATTATGTTCATATAATTAAAATCATGATTAAAAATACTTAATTAAATAAATAAATATTTAATGATTTATTATACTTATAGCTATACCAATTTATGCTTTATATATTTTAATAATCTAAAACTTCTAAAACTCAATTTTTGATAATAAATAAATTTATAAGCTCAGAAATATAAATATGAAACGGTTAGTCGAGTTATAAATAAGAAATATATTGATTAGTCACAATATGTAATAAGTCCTAATTGCTATTGGTTTCCTCTTTCTAAATTACATCTACAAATAAATCTAATTTATTAGCTTCTACTTAATGAATAAAAATATCTATATTTAATTTATCAAAATTTTATATATGGATACATTTATTTAACGCATAAATAATTTTTTCTCTATATTTTATGGTTATTAACAATAAAGTATACAAACGCTATATAATAAATTAAATATATTGTTAATAAATCTTATAAAATATTGTAATAAAATGTATTTATAAGGCAGTTTCTGAAACTTGATTTTAGAAAATTACTTGCTGTAAAAGTTAAACTTTTCAGTATTTTTCTTATATTGAAGTAAAATAAATTTTGTTTGTTAAGTTATTTAATTGAAAATAGAAAATATAATAATTATTAACATTTTAATTTATATCATTTTAATTTTTCTTATAGACCTAGCTTTGTCTTTTCTTAAAAACGTGCTTTAAAATATATAGAGGATATCGTCAATTAGGTTTAGTGATATTAATTACAGAAAAAAATTTATCCTGAATTGATTCGAGATTCTTTTTACTAATAAATAAATAGCTTAGATCATATACTTATTGATTAATTGATATATCTAGATTAATAACATTCTTTATAAATGAACATAACAGATTACACGTTAGCATTCATAAAAGTCATCTAGAGTAATACATATTAAAAATCTTCTTGAAGAATAAAGTTTGGACAATGATAAATAATAGGCTGCAGAATTTATTTCTCATTCTTCACTCACATGTTAAGCTTTCTAAATATCAAAGTTGCATTATAATATATGAAATTGTAATAGTGATATAATTTGTAATTCTTTGTGAATAAATTCATATCAGTTCCATTAGTAGTATCAAAATATATCCATCTTTAATTTATAATTTTTTAGTTTATAACAAATGAGTACAACGTGCACAATTAACTGTTAGTGAGATAAATATAAACCACATTTAAAAAATGGCATTGAGTTAAACAATTGTATTTCAAGAAATATATTAAATTTTTACTTACCCAACTTTAGCGAAATTAGTCCAATAAGTCATTACTGCTTCAGATAGCGCTATTTCGGATTTACTGTAATTTCTATTGAAATAAGACAGAGATCCGANCCTAGCTTTTTCTTTTCTTAAAAACGTGCTTTAAAATATATAGAGGATATCGTCAATTAGGTTTAGTGATATTAATTACAGAAAAAAATTTATCCTGAATTGATTCGAGATTCTTTTTACTAATAAATAAATAGCTTAGATCATATACTTATTGATTAATTGATATATCTAGATTAATAACATTCTTTATAAATGAACATAACAGATTACACGTTAGCATTCATAAAAGTCATCTAGAGTAATACATATTAAAAATCTTCTTGAAGAATAAAGTTTGGACAATGATAAATAATAGGCTGCAGAATTTATTTCTCATTCTTCACTCACATGTTAAGCTTTCTAAATATCAAAGTTGCATTATAATATATGAAATTGTAATAGTGATATAATTTGTAATTCTCTGTGAATAAATTCATATCAGTTCCATTAGTAGTATCAAAATATATCCATCTTTAATTTATAATTTTTTAGTTTATAACAAATGAATACAACGTGCACAATTAACTGTTAGTGAGATAAATATAAACCACATTTAAAAAATGGCATTGAGTTAAACAATTGTATTTCAAGAAATATATTAAATTTTTACTTACCCAACTTTAGCGAAATTAGTCCAATAAGTCATTACTGCTTCAGATAGCGCTATTTCGGATTTACTGTAATTTCTATTGAAATAAGACAGAGATCCGATCAATGGAGCTCCGAATACATAAGGCAAGTCTTCACCATGAATACAACCCATCCTTTGTGTATAGTTTCCTTCTTCTGATTGATAAGCAAAAACGTAGAAATAAGTTTTCATTTGCACATGAGAATGATAATTTCCTGTCCTGATTAGAGGAGCTACGACAAGAGCATCACCGAGTGCATCAGCTGTACCATCCAAAACATTGATCGGATGCTGAACAGGTTTGGTCCAGTCAGTATATTCGTTGACAATTGTAAGAAATATCTCTTGAAGATGATAAGTGAATAGATTTCGTACAAGAGTACGTAAAAGTCGATCTCTTCGATCCGGCTCAATACCGGATTTGTCTTCATGGAATGAAAACTGGAAATAAGATTCTATCCTCGTCACACCAAATAGCAGATCGTACTGTCCATAAAGATTATTACTGTCCTCCATGAGAATAGATGGTTCCTTTGGGATGACAGTTCCATCGACAGTTGGGCCAAAGCTTGTCAAATGCTCTGGAACATCTAGTTGTATTTTCATAATATCTTCGACTGATTTCTCTCTCATACAATCCACCAATTCGGAACTTTTCTGTATTGGACAACCCAACTTGCGTGCTAATTCGTGGGCGTAACTAATTGCATTTGGTGCTAATGCCCAAGAACTGAGTGCGGAACCACTCTGCATAATTGCTCGATGAAACAATCCTAAAGTTAAATAAAAAATAATTTTTATCGAACTTTAGCAATTAAATACTTACATTTAAATTATGTATATTACCATCAATTGAGAAAATACTTTAATATCCAATAGCAAGACAAATATATTTTTTGCAATGTATTTTATAATACTAAAACTTAGTTTCAATTATTTAAAGCATATTTTACATATTCGGATTACATCGTTTTACGAAGCAAAGAATTAAAATTTTATTTCATTTTTACAAAATAAAATTTTTTGTAAAAATATACAATTTCCTCGTTCTTCTATAATTATATGAATAAATTATTTTGTTATTTCTGTAAAGTATCAGATTAAATAAATCGTAAGAAATTTAAATTAAAATTTTCTCATAATTTTTGTTGTTTAATCGTTATATAAAATAATTTAAATGTATTTTAAGATTTTTACATCTTTCAGACAAATCATGTTTTTAATGATTTGAAAATCTAAAAATCAAACTTAAATTATTTTTTAAAATAATTTTATTATTTTAACATAAAAAATAATTATGCATTATAAAAATAGTTTTTTTAAATAATTAAAAACACGTTTGTTTAACAGATTTAAAAATCTACGAATCAATTCATCTTTTAATTATTTCTTTCAATACGATGTTTTAAAAATTAATTATCGGAATAGTAATTTCAGGAGAATAAGATAGAACGCAATATTTTGTAAACTGAATTGGTTTTGGCTTAAGAGGATAAATAGGAAATCACCTTTAGCCATTGGAGATAACATCAGTAAGTTGACACATGCCGCTCCATATCCGTGTCCAAATATTGTAATATTTCTTGCATCACCTCCGAATTCAGCAATATTTTCTCTTATCCAATGTAAAGCCGCAACTTGATCCATGATACCATAATTTCCTCGAGCATAATCATCCAAGGTTGGAAGAAAACCTAGAATGCACAACACATCACAATCATCATCAAAGAAGTTGTATCTTATTTCTATCGTACTCTACTAGTTTGATTTAATTATCAGGAAACACTTTTATCTGATAGTTGTCTTGGATAGCACAAAAATCCAATATTTCTTGATACTAGAAGAAGCTAATTTTAAGCAAAATTGCTCGAAAAGTAGCTGTTATTTATTGTTCCTACCTTTATGGTATAATTTTTATTTAATATTATATTTTAACTTTTAAACATGATTTCACTTAAAGCTAAAACTGCCAAAGAAACTTCATGTGGGATAATTTCATTTTTATTTAATATTATTTTTTACAAGTTTATCTAAATCAATATTTCAATATAACAATAAAGTTTGAAGTTTAAATGAAAAATAATAATTTAATCTGATTAAGTAAATTTAATATTGGAACCAATAAATATATGCTTAATTTATCATAATTCAATCTACAAAATAAATTCAAATTCACAAATATATTTAATATAATTATTATATAACTAATATGAAATTCTAAATTTAATTTATAAAATTAATTTTAAAAATCAACNTTTAAATTTTCATATTTAATAATTTATCAATCAAGTTAATTATTTTGCCAATTGCTTTGCTTGAGGCATTCTTTCTACTTTATTTACAATCCTTACTCCAAGTTTACACAAAGTTTAGCGTCAAAGAGTTTATGAGAATCCCTAATTACGTGTACTTTAATTAACTTGATCTTACTCTTTTCAAGTGTTGGTTTTCCTCTGCTTAAAATAAGTTTTGTGTATTTTTAAAATATTTCATAAAGTTTTATCGTTCAAAAGAATAAGTAATTAAGTAATTTATCGAAATTGTTAAGTTAATATTGATTAATCAAGCGATTAATTTTAAACCGAAAATAACTATTATGTTGGCATTTTTACCCTGATAAAGAACTTTAATATGTTCATAATTTATATTATGTATAAATTATGCTATGTATATATTTTGTAAATAAACAGAAAATATAAATTCTAAAATCCATTTCAAGCCAGAAGTTTTAATTAAATTTAATTATTATAATTTCAAATTCTATTGTAGAATTCTGTTTAAAAGTACACTCTATAATAGAATTTAAAATTATAAATAATGTTTCATTAGATGAAATAAATTAATATTCTTTTCATATTCTACTTTCACATTTTCAGAGAATAGCCTAATAGCTATGTCACTATTCATATTGATATAACTTACAATCAGCTTAGAGAAGTGCAATTCATTTTATCTAGTGGTGATCAGTGATTTGTTCTAGCATGCCATCACAACGATCGTAATCAATTTACATTGATTCCTCTGCTTTTTTGTCACTGATCGATCCCATTGCAACGACTTTGAACTGGTAAAGATAGCATTCCATTACATTGAAGTTTCTGAAATCTACATTAGAAGTATGTTTGTTTACAATCTGAGTAAAGTATCAAGAGATAATAAATCAATATTTTCTGTAATAAAATTTCTATAGAAATTTTTACCATTATCAATAGCTTCTAAGCTATGATAATGGTAAAAATAGTGTAGTTGTCACGCTAATATAAGAAGAAAAACTATAATTTTCTCTTCACATAGTCAATCTGTTGAATTATTAATGAATATTTTTATTAGAAAATTTAAATTTATGAAGAAGCTATAGAAATGATAGCAATTAACACATTATAAATATTTATATCCGGAAAATAGCATGTAATTTTAAGAAATAAGGAAAAAATAATATATACATAATATTAACTTTATGAAATGTTTGAAGACTATACTCATTATTCAAAAGTTTTGGGTTTAGTATATAAAAGCAAATATAAGTTAAAAGCAACAGTGACGCTTTAATGATTTCAAACTTTTAAATTTACTTAATCAGTTTCAAAGTAAAAAGTTATTTGTCATCATTTTTATGAAAATGTAAAAAAATGTAAAAAAAAACATAGTGGTTAAAACTCAATCTTAAATTTTCTCAATCTCAATCTCTGATTTATAAATCTAAAGCAATCATACATACTTTTGCTTGATTTTTACATATACTGTGTTTTTTGAGCTTATTTTCTCCAGTCTTAATGGATGTAGACATTTGAAACTTTTGGAGTACTAATAAGTGTTAATCGCGCAATTTTTCACGTTATTTTGACATTTTAGACTTTAAATCTAAAGGTCACAACGGTCGTAACATTAAATTGTAAACGTTAACCTATAAAAATCATTTAAAGTTGAATCAATGGTGCAATCGGATTTGAAATTAAATAAACTGTTCAGAAATTATATTGGAAAATCTTATCTACTAAGTTCAGAAAAATTTAACTTTAAATAATCACAATTACTAATGATTAAGTAAAACTTTGGTTATGCAAAAAACTTACTTTATTGGACAATAATTTATATTCGATAATAATCAGTTATTTAATTAAAATTTTATTAAAATTATTTATCTAAAATTAACTGTAAATGCTAAGATTTTGCTCTGATTATCAGTGAAAAGCATCGTTAAAAAATAATGTCTACTATAAATTGACAGTGTTCAATTATTATATAATCAACCCGTTTTATTTTGCATTAAAAGCCTTTAAAATATCCTCAAAATAAGATTATGAGAAAATTTAAAGTTACTACCTGAAATTTTGGTATCTTATTTTGATAGTTTGTTATTAAAATAACACACAAAATATGCAATTTTAATTCCAGTAATATTTGCAAAGTACGAAGTTTTTATATCTACTAAAATCAGAGATACACACTTGATATGGCTTTCCTGGTTACTGTATACTATAAAGTATCTGCTTGGAATTGCCACCAGAATATTTATTTAGTTTTTACTTTAATATATTATTTTATTACAATAAAATCATGTACCTATCGGTAGAAATTCGCCAAATTTATCTGACTGTTTGATAATCATGTCGTACACATTGTCAAATGATGATTTTTGTACATTTAAATATATATGTTACCGGCCAAACCCTATTTCAGGCCAAACTAGTTTATCCTACGCGTGTAAGGATATACTAGTTAGCCTAGGATAATCTAGTTTGGCCTAAATACTTTAGGCTTAACTAGTTTGTCCTAGGCCGAACTGATTTAGAATTATTATTTAAGTCAAGCCTGGCCAACCCAAATTGTTTCCGGGCCACTTTGATCACGCGTAACATTACAATGGACCACAATTTAGCAAACATACTTTTTTAAAAGTAAAACAAATACAAAATGAATAAGATTTCATTGTTATACCAAGAGTTCGTACTCGCACTTGCACATTATAACAATGACAAATGCAAATTTTCATTTATTTAATTGTTTTGGTATACACAAAACAGAAAACAAAAGTTTTAATAGATATATAATATCGCTTAGCGGGCCACACAATTTAATGTGACGGTCCGCGGGTTGGCCAGGCCTGATTTAAGTATATTAATGGTTAAAATAAAATTAAAAGGCAATCAATTAGACGAACAATATTTATTCAAACATAGTCTACTTAATTATAAAAAACGGTATTGATTAGAAGTGACACAACACTTGTACAAAACTATAAAATAAAAATAAGCTAATCAGTACATATCAGTTTGTATTTTTTTTATTAAGCCATGCACTTTTAAAGGTAATTAACAAACGAAAATATTTTCAAAAATTAAACGAAATAATAAAAATAACTTTTAAAGTCAAACTAAAATTAAAATGAACTTATTTGTGTTTCTTAGTGTAACATATAAATTATTTAATCTTTTATTTATTTTTACAGGATGGGTTAAAGTCTACCTAGGTAACCCCAATGGCGGCACTTCGGACTGTTCGTGCTCCCGGCAGACTCCTCCCATAGAGGAGCCGTTGGCAGGCCGCCCATTGTTTAACGTCACTAGTTATTGATTCACGGTAGTTCTTGAACAAAAGAAAAAAAGGAAACGTCTACTAAAAATGTAGTTCACTTAACCAAACCAACCTAACGAAATCACCGCCTTGGGGTTACCTAAGTACACTTTAACCACCGGGTGTACTGTGGTGGCATTTCGAATTACACAAAATCATTTATTTTATACTGGCGCCTATTTGTAATACATAAATCAGTTTGGCCTAGGTCAAACTAGTTAAGCCTAAAGTGTTTAGGCCAAACTACATTATCCTAGGCTAAACTAGTATATCCTGATACGTGTAGGATAAATTAGTTTGGCTGGTAACATTATACAAATCATTCTCCATTTTTCGGTCAATATATATGCCTACTCATAAAATCAAGCAATTTGCAATCAAATAAAGGAGTGTTCACGAGTATCATGATAAATTGCAAATAAATTAAAATTTCGATTCATATCTATTTAAAACATTAAAAGTTTAGCAAATTTCAGAAACATGAGATAATATTATGAGATATAGATCCAAATAATTAGATTAACGAAATCAATGATTCGATGAAATCTCAATTTCAATTATTAGAACTTACCCCAAAAATTGAAATCTTAGAATTAATGAATTCAAGAAAAATAAAACGAATATACAAATACAAGTTGATAGCCTTTTAAAAATCTTGTTCACTGATTCCATATTTATTTGTTTACTTTTTAAAATCTTTATTGTTTTTGAAAACTCTTTTAATGTTTCATTAGAAAAAAATGTTTCATTCGATGTCTCAACATCGAAAAGAATTTTCGATGTTGAGCATCGAAAATTCTTTTCGATGCTCAACATGAGTTCTTTCAGACTCTCAATGTGGCCAGATAATGAAGCACGGAATTCGACATATCTGGGTCAGATCAGTCCTGAAGATTTTTCAAGTTTCAATCAGGACCAGAATCCGGATCTTCTAAAATACGCCTTTACTGCCTGGATCATTTAATCGTAATCCTTATTGCATATTGATTCCTTTTTAAATAATAATAACTTCTTTTTTCGATTTTCAAAATTGGTAATTTTGAATTTAAACCATTTTAATACGATAAGAGTTATATAAAAGATATTCTAGAAATATTACATGGCAAAATTAATGCAGACT